CCGCTCTTCTTCTTCCTCCGTTAGTCGAAATACACTATTTTGGCTGTGACTTTACCCTCAGAGATAACTGACACTTCTTCAGCCCGACGAGCTGATCCCTAGACCGTCTGTGGTCCACCTACTTCATGTTCATGGCAAATTACTGTAATCTTATAAACCTTGATGTTTAGAAAATTCACATTAACGTTTTTATTTTTCAGATCGCAGATTGTGAAATTTCAAAACACGTTTGCAATTTTTTTTACAAGTGTTTTAGTTTGTAATTTTACAAACATTGAATTGCGTAAAAAGTTGCCAACAAAATTTGTAAAATTACAATCGATTTTTTAACAGTGAGGGTAGGCTGTGCGCCTGAAGGTCTCTCGCCTCCGGGTTAGGCAGCCCGCCTCCCTCCAGGTCCAGGTTAGTCGTATACAGGGCGATACAACTGGGTGGTTAGGTCGTTGCGTAAGACAGGAAGACAGGTGTGTGGCTTAGAGCACCCACCCTGTAGGCCCTCCTGCCGGCCCGGCTGTCCGCGCGCGACCCCTGCAGACCTCTCGTATTCTTGAGGCAGGTCGCCGCCGGCCACCGCCCGCCCCGCCCGGACGTCGACTCCTGTGCTCGTCCTGGGGATTCTCCGTCCGGAAGGCGCTAATCAATACGCCTGACTGCAGCGCTACAACACGGGCGCGACCGGCGAGACCGGTGGCGTGCCGCGGATTCGCGGAAGACGCGGGCCGGTCAGCAGGCTGGCTTGTTGTTGAGTCTCGTGTCCGCCGCGTCGTCGTCGCTCCTCCCAGAGAGGCCAGGCCCTTCCTGCTGCCCTCGGCCCTGCTTGCGCTTGCCCGATACGGCGAAGGCCCCGCCCCGCCCCGCCCCGCCCAGTCCATACGTGCCGCGGCACACAACAGCCTCTCACATACGCGCGACAGCCGCGTGGCGCTACCCACGTACCCCACCCTCGCCGTCGCACGACGCCGCACTCGTGCGCCCCGGGCGGCCGTGCACCTGTCTCCCTCACTCGCACAGGCGACAACAAGGTGATCCGAGCGGAAGAACACAAGGAGGAGTCTCTCTCTCCCCTTCTCTCTCTCTCTTTTGCTCACTCTCCCTTTCCCTCTCACTCTACTAGTAAACGCACACTACACCAAGTAGAGGCGCGGGCCAAACAGCTATCCGACGAAATGAAGAGGGTTTAGGGGAGAGGAGGGGGGGGGGTCCATTATGAGCGTGTTTTCGGCAACACTTCAAGGTAAAAGCGTCATAAGACCGGTGTGAATATAGTTTTCCCTGACGCAGCCACGCCAGCCGTGGCGCGACGTCGTTTTATATACGAGGAAAAACATCACCACGCTGCTGCGTATTCGAAAAGACGATCTACATGGGGCGAAACGTCGCCGTCCAACATGAGCGACAGGCGAGAGGCGGGCGGTGCGGCCGGCGATGCGCGGGCGGTTTGAAAAGCCCGCGCGCCGCGCTGCCGAAACAAGTTATGCACCCGGCGTATTGAACGGCCAGTCGTTGCCCTCGCGGCTATTTTTAGGCCCCTCTATGCCAGAGCAAGACCCTCCTACCCCCCCTTCCCCCTTCCGCCTAAACGGAGCAAAGTTCCCTGGCAGTACAGGTCGGCCGAGCCCGATAGCAGTGCAGTGAGTGCATGCAGACCGAGCGACCCATCAGGTGAGGACGCCAGCGGACACCGACGGGGCGGTCACTCGCATGGTGATGATGTTTACGCGTCCAGATGCGAGGTGGGTGGGGAGGGGGGCAGGCCCGCTGCCACTGCCACCAAAGCCTGGCTCACCAGACCGACAATATTTTATAAGGGTTGACACACACGCACACTTTTGTCTTAGGGCCTATACAGGACTGCCCTCCTGGCCAGCTTCTCTCTCTCTCTCTCTCTCTCTCTCTCTCTCTCTCTCTCTCTCCGGCGAGTCTCCCTTCTCGCTCGCACAACACAAACGTTGAATATAGTAGTACGACATCCACAACAATTCAGTAATAAATGTCTGCCAGCGCTTTGCTGCGCGCATGCAAAACGCTGCGACGTGGCGTGGCGTAGCGTGGTGGACCTTGAGGCAGTATTGGAATCATACTATCGTCTCCTCCCCCCCTCCCCCCTCTCCTGCCATTGCAACACTGTAGCGTGGTGCAGCACTGAGCTGTTGACGAACAACACTCCACGATAACGTCTAAAATCTAAAACATACACAGGGGGCACAGCCGAGTTTACAACAGATAACAAAATATTATCGGTGGTAATTTCATTTTCAGATCGCGCACAGTATGAAGGGATTGTACGAAAGTGGGCTAGCCGTCTCTCTTGGCAGCGGCAGTGGCACGAGAATTGTTGAATGCCGCGGGAGGGAGAGAGAGGGAGGAGGGAGAGAGAGAGAGAGGGAAGGAGGTAGAATGGAGGGGACATACGCGCGCTCCTCACACAGGCCGCTTCTCCACCACTTCGTCGACAGTTACGGATGGAACCAGTGTTTTAAAATCTGCATCTGACCTGACCGGCGGGTTTGACAAATGGCACTGCAGTGGCAGCAGGGCGCGCGTCGCGCCGCACGCCTGCCTGCCCGGGACAGCCTCTGGAAGCAGTCTGGGCGGGCGGGGCGGGGGAGCGGTAGCGGCAGGCAACCGGGTCGGCAGGCGTGCGGTCGCATTGCCTACCCCGCCGGGCGCTCCGACGCGAGCGCCGCGCGTTCTTATATGCCGTTACCATACCAGCAACAACAACAGCGGTCATAAACATAATCACAACGTCTGACGATTATTATTGCTTTATTATTACGAGGCGCCCAAGGAAGGTGTGCTTGCCGTATCTCAGCGCCCCGCCGCGCCTTACCTTATCGCTGGGGCCCTACGCGCACATCACCTCGCACGACTCCATTTTAATTGATGTCATTCTAAAAGGTCGTATAAATGAAAAGTTATCTCTACCCGGCGGAAGGCGCGAAGCTGGCGAGCGGCCGTGACTCACCTGAAGTAATAATAAACAAGATCATAAGACCGTAAAACGAAAGTATTGTTTATTTCTTTTTTATTTTATTTTGACTTGCCCAGGTGTAATCAAGCCCATTTTAGCTTTATCTCGTGTGTTTTTTTGCCAGGCGAAAACACACACACACACACACACACACACGCATAATCTCTTTTGGCGGCTCTAATGTAGGGCAGGCAAGCCGGGTCTTTATCGTGTGTGTCTGAGATCGCTCCATCTTGCGCTACTACTAGTATGCAAATCCATCCCCACTCCCGTCCTCCACCACTTGTTTTTCCGGACGAATGTTTTCCTGACAATTTGTCGCTCTGCTGAAGGAAAGAAAGTTGCTGTCTGGTCGGTCGGCCAACCTATGGTGGTGGCTGGTCCTCTCCTTCGAGTCGTCCCTGTGCGTCACACCACCGGTCAGGCAGATACCGGCCCCGTGTCGCACCGGCCGGCACCGGCACACCCGTGACCAGACCCCGCCCGCACAAAAATATCTATACCACAAAAGTTTCTTCTGCTTTTTCTTTTCTATGGGAAAACATTTGTTTTACCCCGTTTTTATTTTGGGTCTATTGTGGATCACCTCGAAAAAACAGAAAAACGTCACACTGTTGTTGACGTTTTAAAGTTTACCAGGGGAATTTTACAGTGTTTTTTTTTTCTGTAAAATTAACTGGCCATACTCTCTTTTGGCGTGTCTTTATGTGAACCCTAGAACACACTTGATCGTAAAATATGAAAATTGTCCACATTGTTCTTTAAAAAAAAAATACTTTTTGCGGTCTGTGTCATTGACGGAGTAATACCCAACCCAGGTGTGAAAAGTCCCATGTGTCGAATATGTGTAACACAGTGCTGGCAGAGAACACACACACACACACACACACATGCACACGCACACACTCACAGACAGACATCCTACGCACCCTGCAGCTCTACTCAAACACGACCATCATATATACGGCATTATAATGCGATCGGTGTCTGATCATATATGCACGGACTCATAATGCCAAGGCCGGTGTTCGATGCACACACACAGGAGAGAGAGAGAGAGAGAGAGAGAGAGAGAGAGAGAGAGAGAGAGAGAAGAGAGAGAGAGAGAGGCGCCCCACATTTTGCATGGCGTTTGGGTCTGGGTCTCGTTTAGGCACTCTTAGTTCCTTACAACCAGCCGCAAACAGCAGTGTTTGTATTACGAAGAATTGGTCTTGTAACGTACAAAGGATCTAAAGCAGACATCTTACGAACGATTCTATCATATTACGAAAAGCCGCGTTTGTAGTACGTTACGAAGAGCAGACGTTCGTAAGAAACTTACAGTGGGTGCACTCCAGTGGTTGTTATCTGCATAATGTCATCAGAAAGAGAAATCGTATACGACTGCATAAAGAGTCGCTTGCATTGAAGATGCGTAGAACTTTTAGTGCCGGAAAATTATCCTCAAAATGAGAATACGATGGTAATTTTGTTACAGTAACTATCATGGATTTCTTTGTCAGGGTTGTACTGGTTGAATAGGAAATGAAGTTTCAAACAAATTTGTGATGACTCGGTTTTTATAAAGGAAGCCATACTATTTTTATAATTACTTTTTTGTGTTTTGTTCTTTAGATCGGGCCAGAAGGCTGTGTACCGCGCTGCGGAGATCGAGCGGGTGGAGAGGGGCGTGGCGTGGCGTGGCGAGCCGGTCCTGAAGGTATAACCAGGTCTTACTGCACGTACAGTGCGCTGGCGAGGGGCCAACGGTTAGGGGCAGTATCCGCCCGGCCCGGTGCAACGCGTACCTCCCCCCCTCCCCTCCTTTCTTGGGCCTGCCCTTCTCTTATCCTTCGGCTCGGCCTGCCTGCTCCAAGGCATCTTTCCGCATCTTTCCCCCGCGGGTCTCAATAACTGTTCTAGCTGCACGCATTACATACACTTCTCCTTGTGCGACTTGCGCCCCCGCGGGTCCTGTCGGAGGCGCGAAGAATCAAAAGATGAGGGAGTAAGAGTGAGGTAAAGCGAGTGAGCATGAGAGAGCAGAGCATGAGCAAAAGGGGGAAAATAGAGAGGGGTGCGGGGAAGAGGCGGGGGCAGTAGGAGGGCCAGCGAGGAAAAAGTAGCGTGACTATAACGAATCCAAGGGACGTAATTTTCCACTGACGAATCATCACAGGGCCCCAGCCCAGTCCCCCCGAGGGCCCCGTTGCCCTCCTGCCATGCGTTATGCCCGTGCTGCACTGAAGCGAGCCGCGAGCCCGCCGAGGCGTGGTGGGGCGGGCAGAACCGGGGACCGGTGGCCGCCGTGCAGGTGGGCAGACCCCAGGAGGAGCCGGCTCTCGCCCATCGAGCCCCCTTTGCCCGTATAGACCCCCTCTTTACCTACTTTGATGACCACAATCGACGACAATCAGGTATGTGCAATAGACGGATACTCCCCCGCTGCGCTGCGCCCCCGCCCCCCAGAGGGGTTCAGGAGACCCATCTCGCCCCCCTCCATCCTGGCCGGGTGCCATTTCTCCCTGGGAGGCTCCCGCACCGTCCCCGCGTGCGACGTGCACTAGAAGGAGGGTGAGAGAAGGGGCGGAGAGGATCATGGGCCCCAAACTTCTCAAGGAATTTCTGAAAAATAAAAATAGAGTTGGAGATTTGTAATTCGGAAATAGTGGAGTACTGGTGGCGCGGTTACTGAAGCGCTGCTGTTGGCGCCTACAACCGCACCTGCTTAGCCCTGACCCTGGACAGTACCTTCACGATGTAGGGCAGGATGTAGGACGCCCCTCGCCCCCCCCCCTCCTCCCTTCGCGCACTCAAACCTTCCGTCGGTCCGTCGGGTGACAAATTAGACGACCAAGGACGAACATCGAACGAACATCCCTGCGGTAAGGTCCTTGGGACAGCGCCACGTCCCCTGGCCCTTCTGCGTCAGAGGGCCTCCCCCAGCTGGGTGCCCCTAGTCGAGTTGTCAGTTGTCAGCGGGAAAACCTGGCCTGGTACCAGAGAGCGCACGAGCGTGCGCAGGTCACGCTCCGACTCGTGTCCTACCAGAGCTTGATGGTAACGAATCAAGAGATTCGGTGCCTCGGCGAGTTTCCTCGTTTTCTTTCAACTTTTTTTCTTTTCATCAAGCAAAACTTTAGAAACGACACTAAACTGGAAACGCAAGTAGTGAGTGAAAGTCGTACCTTTGTAGGTGTGTGAATGACCACAGAGACACATCTTGTAATTGACATAAATTGACGCTTGGCATTTAGAGTGTATGGTTGGGTTTTCCGGTGTATTTCTGTGATGTTGCACGGCTTGCGGCAGGATTGCCGTGCCAAGATGCGGAATACAGCTTCCCGGCGCGGAACACGAGAAGCCCATCATCATCCGCGTCCTCTGGGGGGCGCGTCGCCTCGCGTTGCGCCCCTGGCCGGACGCGAGGCTCAGCCTCAGCAGGCTCGGCTGTCCCCCGGTGCTGACGTAAGGGTGCAAGCGGGGTGGACGACGTGACCGCGGGACCATTCGCGCTACCCGAAAACATTCGCCTCTATCTCTAAAGTGCCTCCCCCTCCCTTTCCCCACGGAGAGAGAGAGAGAGAGAGAGAGAGAGAGAGAGAGAGAGAGAGAGATAGAGAGAGAGGTCCCAGCGCGCGAAATGAGATAGGCCATTGATTGAGGCGTGGCGCGGCGCTGCATTATGACAGTACAGTGGGTCCGGCGGGTCCGGCCGGCACAACGCCCCTGTTTGTTGTATTTTGTGTCGTTGGCCGTGGAGTCCACAGGGAGAGGGGGGGGGGCGGCCATCCATGGAGACATAGGCGACATAGGAAACCCATTGCCCATGCGAGCGATCCACTGGATCCACCACGCAGAAGGGCGCTGTAGAAGAGGCTGCTCACTGCACGCAGCACCACAACGTGCTCCACGCGCATCAACTCAAAAGCATATGAGGTGGAGATTGATTAATTGATTGTTTATTGATCTTCAGGTGAGGTGCCAAAAGGACTGAAAAGTCCTACGAGAGAGAGAGAGAGAGAGAGAGAGAGAGAGAGAGAGAGGGGGGGGCAGATTGTGGTTCCGTACGTGTATGATAGGGGTCGGCCCTGAGCCAGAACGGAGTCGGGCCCGGGCCAGGCAGCGCACAGCACACTGAAGGGCCTATACCTACCTGTCCTACTGAAGCATGCCTGATTGGCAAGGACCAGGTGCGACCGCAGCCTGCTGCCCACCAAAACGTCATTATTACTATTGTTTATAGAATAAGAAGCGATTTGTCTTCCCGCGGTGGAGGCTTTTGTGCTGTCGACTGTATAGTCCCCAGCGTTTACTGGACGCGTCGAGGTTAACGGCCACGGCTGCCTTCAGCCCACTATACCGTCTGTGCCGAGGCGAAGCGAAGGGGTTAATTGGGTCACATTTGGGCATCTTGCTCTATTTCTAGCGCCAGGCGTGCCGGGAGCGTGCCTCGGGCGTGCCGCGGGCGTGCCGCGGGCGTGCTTCGGGCGTGCCGCGGGCGTGCGGCGGGCGTGCCGCGGGCGTGCCGCGGGCGTGCGGCGGGCGTGCCGCGGGCGTGCGGCGGGCGTGCCGCGGGCGTGCCTCGGGCGTGCTTCGGGCGTGCCGCGGGCGTGC